CAATAACCGAACCAGGCATAGAGATACAAATTAAAATAACAGTCATAGCTGGAAAAGACTTAATTCAAATAAAAAATAATAACAGGTGTATATGTATATGTGTGTGTGACAATAGTCAAATATGGCTGTCTCGTGTTGCTTCCATTGGTAGACCAAAGCTGACAAAGGGTTAAAACTTAAAAATACAAACAATAATCAAACCTGGCAAAGAATTCAAAAATGAAAACAATAATCAAAGCTAGCAAAGAGTTACAAATAAAACAATAATCAAAGCTGGCATAGAGTTAAAAATACAAGCAACAAGAACAAAATCATTTAAAAGATGTTTTTTCCCTTCTAAGTCAGCTATTTGGTAGAGTCAACAAGGCAATTTAATTAGGGGGTGATGTGAAGAGGTCTGTCGTAGGCTGATCCTACTAAAAGGGTTCCCTGCCGTGGTTTTTGTCAAGAAGGGCAGGTGCTAGGAGGCCAAGATGAACATTGGGGTATCCCTAGAAAAGCATTGAGGGATCCCAAGGATTGAGAGAAGGGGAGGGAGGGGGAGGGGGAGAGGGAAGAGGGGAAGAGTGGGGAGGGGAGAGGGAGGAGAGAGGGAGGGTGGGGGAGGGAGAGGAAGGGAGGGGAGAGGAGGAGAGAGAGAGGGGGAGGGGGAGAGGGAGAGCAGGGGGAGAGGGAGGGGAGAGAGGATGAGAATGAGGTGTAGATCTAGGGAGGAGGAGAGAGAGAGAGGGGGGGGGAGGGAGGGGGAGAGGGATGAGGGGGAGGGGGGGGGGGGATAGGATTGAGGTTTTGATATTGTAAGAAGTTCATTATTTTTGAGAGCCAGAAGGGCGTTAACTAGCTCTCAGCAATTAAAATGTACCCTGTTTGATTTGAAGTTATAATGATGAATACTGGACATGAATGTTTCAATGTTAAATTAACCTGCCTATAAAGACAAATTTTCAAGGGAAACAAAAAATGTGTTCTTTGTAGATGGATGGTCTTTATATTCAAGTGGTCACTAAAGCAGGTTTGATTTTATCCAGAAGTTATTCTGAATGGCTGATTATGAAGTGAATAGGCAGTAGGGACCATAACCATTATGTATTATGAGGTTTCTGAAGCATTAAAATTGTACCAAATTGAATGAATCTTGCTAAAATCACAAACAATAAAACAACACTGAACACAATACAAGCCTACATGAGACATCAAATATATGGCTTCAGGATTTGTTCCAAAGCACGTTGAATGAACTACATGAATTTGTTTTATTTTTTAAAGCGAAACATCCAAACCTGTCGTAGCTAGTGGCCACCTCTCTATAAAGGCCACCTGTATATAGTGGTCACCTGTAATGTTTCCCTCTTGGATGAAATGTGTGTTATAGAACCTGTCTAGAAAGGCCACCTGTCGACAGTGGCCAGTTTTTCCTGTTTCCCTTGGGTGACCTCTTTAGACAGTTTTGCTGTAATAACAAGAATAAGAAAGCTGTTTATCTTTTTGCTCACCTTCACCAGAACCCAACCTTCTCTTTAAGGTGAAGGATAAAAAACGCACGAGTCTGGAAAATGCAATAATTAGATTCCTCCTTATCGGTACTGGCGTCCAAGGCAATGTACACACGCCGCTATTTTGAGAAGGAAGACTTGTAGGGCCGACCCAGGGGCGGACAGTTTACTTTCAATTATGCATTCTGGGCAGTGCAGAGGTATTGTGTGATTGGTTCGGAGCAGAATGTTGTGAGAGTATATACCTGGAGCTTTGTTTACATTTGGCATGGTAAAACACCTTTAAAAAGATCACTGGCGCAACATATTTCTTCATCGTTCAGTACTTTTAAATAAAAACTGAGAGCATTTATAGTTTTTTCATTTCACTGTTTGCAGTGTAGCTTTAAGCTCAGCTGGGCTCTTCTGTGCTTTATATTCTTATATTATTATCTTATAAGACACAGATGAGAATTAGATAGTATAAAATCAGAAAATTTTGCTCATGATAAGCAGCTATTTCTACAGCAAGAAACTTTTGCAAATTTCACGAAGCTTAGGGTATTGTCAAATCATGTAATTCAATTATTTTGCAGTATACGTCTAAGCCACTTGTAAAATTCACGAACATAATGAGATTTCTTGGTTTTACCCCATGAGGAGGAGACTCTGATGCTTAATTTTCTCACATCCATCGGCCATTTAGATTTACACATGACTGTTTGCTACAGATTTGTATACCTTGTCATATTTGAATGTGGCTTTCGTGAGAGACTTGAATTCCCTCATGATCCTTGAATACAATCTGCCTGTGAGAAACAAATTCCACATTTTTTTTTACTGAGAATGATATGAATCTTTGATGCAGAAATCTATTTTCTTGAGGCAGTTTACCTTGTCATATATTAAGAAGGCTTTAGTGAGAGACTTTGATTCCCTCATGATTCTTGATAACAATATGCCTGTGAGAAAGCAAATTCCACTTTTTTTTTATTTTACTGAGAATGATGCATCTTTGATGCAGAAATCTATTTTCTTGAGGCAGTTTACCTTGTCATATATTAAAGGTACTATGTCCCTTTTGCAGCCAACCTCAAATGCTGTAGAACTTTGCAGGAATTAGGAATATGTCATGTATGTCCTATCTGTGAAATTTAACCTCAGCAGTGTCCTAATATTCAGATTGTGCAAGGAAACCCTGTTTACTTTCTACAAATGCTAGACTTCACTGTCAGACACTATTGAGTGGCTGACTGGCCTTTTTCTTCTTTGGTAATAACATATGGGTACATAAAATGAGCTGTAAAGGGTACATGAACATTTGTCTACATCAATAACCCACTTCTTGTAATGGCCAAAATTAAACTGATTGAATCTTTGGCAGCATAAAAACGTACAACCATTCGGTACAATGGTCTGAAATTCAGACTTATTGCTTACTGGCTCTATAATTTTTAAGTCGAGTCGACAACTAATAGTCGTTATTTATCCACTTAAAGAAATTTTCAAGCTCCCTTTTTTTTTAAGGGAAGTTCTAAATTCGTATTTTCATTCAAATGCCGTCGGAATTTAACCTTTTCATTTTTTTGGCCTGCAAATGGGACATAGTACCTTTAAGAAGACTTCCGTGAGGGACTTGAATTCCCTCATGATCCTTGAATACAATCTGCCTGTGAGAAAGCAAATTCCACATTTTTTTTTAAAACTGAGAATGATATGAATCTTTGATGCAGAAATCTATTTTCTTGAGGCAGTTTACCTTGTCATAATTAAGAAGGCTTTCGTGAGAGACTTGAATTCCCTCATGATCCTTGAATACGATCTGCTTGTGAGAAATCTCACAAAAGAAATTTGAATAACATGTTTTGTTGCGAAAGTGACATTGAAACGATCAGATAGTGACAGTTTCAAGATTTCAAGATTTATTCATTCCATTCAATAGAAAAACATACGGTTAAGATATTACAAGTGTAAAAAAGAAAGAAATACAAGTTATACCAACATCACCAAGGTCACTGATCAATACATTTAAAGGTAAAGAAATTAAATGGAATTTGGGTCACTGCAAAAGTCCAAATAAATTTGAACTTGTCGAGGCTGTGCCAAAAGTTTGAATTAAAATATTTTTGCAATGGATAACTATGTACATAAATAATTTACTGGACAATAACAAAACAAAACAAAACAAACATATATATATAAGTAAAGAAGGAAAAAAAATGGAAATTCATTTTATCACATAACATAGTATTACAGGGGTTACGTACTTGCTAATAAATAAGATTTGAGTTTCCTTTTAAATCCATTAAAACAGTTTGAAGCGTGCATGAAGGTTGATATGATTTGCCTCAAGGGAATCGTCCATTCTGAGTTGGAAGGGGCTTTAAGTCTGTGTAAAATGATATGACTCAACACGTACCCTTCGGGCTCCAAACAGATGAAATGGGGAATCTTGTGCATGCTGAATCACTCGATGAATTGCTGTTGCTTTACTTCCCTAGAATGTTAAAGCTTTTAAAGGTAAAGACCAGTTATGGTCATGCAATTGCATTGTGAAAGTAACGTTGTGGAATCGATCAGAAAAGGTTGATCATCTAGCATCTAGCATCTGCAAGGTTCTGGAATCATCAAAATGATAAGAAATTTGGCCCATTCTTCGTTAAGTTACAAGCACTATACACAGAAAGATGTATATGGGACTACCCTATATCTCTCACAGACCATGAGAGAAACAAATATACCAAATATATGAATTAGTAGGCGGTTTCCTGGCAATTTTTTTATCATCATGTATTAGTCAAAACATATTCTTTCACATGATTGGTAATGAGAGCTTCCATTTCATTTTTTGAAATTGGGGCGTTTCCAATACTGGTCTTTACCTTTAAGTGTCATCTAAATTAGTGAGCTACATTTTAGCTTAAGCTGCCTTTCAGGTACGTGGCCTTTCGCGAAACAGAAACGTGATCATGTGAAGATGCAAGGACACAGCCTTTCGTAGATTTGCTATAGGGTTTCACACAAAATGTTGGATAAATTGGACCAGACCAATTGTAGATGAGAGGGGTTTATTTGACAAACATTACCCCAGACAATGTTTGAATAAAGGGGCATATATTTTCACAAAAGGTCGGGTACAGTGACCACCCGAACCGATGCGATGACCCAATGATTCTGATTTAGCCGGATATTTCTAAGCCATCAAATTGTCCAACAATACGTTTTAGGTTGTGCAGGCAATTTCTGGCTATTGTATTGATTTTCAAAGTTGATTCCACTTTTACATGTATAGCTTGTGTTGACGTATGGTGTGGATATGTGAGTAGTATTTCAAATAGTAGATTTCTTTCTAAAAAGGTTAACATTTGTGCTTGGCTGTAACAAGTCATTATTTGATTGACGGATTCTTATTTAATCATCAATTTGTCTAAACACATCACACTGAAACGTTATTAAGTAGTATTAGAAAAGTTTTAAGAAAAGAAAAATGCAAGTTTAAATATCCAATGCTTCTCATTAATTTTACAGGTTGTTCAAGAGTATGAGAGAGCGGTTATTTTTAGATTGGGTCGGCTACTCGCTGGAGGTGCTAAAGGCCCAGGTAAGTCTCTCACACTTCCTTACGTCAATGCTGTCTATGTGTGGTGTTGTACTATGTGCTCAGTACAAATGTCAACTCCGCTATAAAGCAAGCGGGGGCGATGGATATTTGCAACTCGTGCTTACTTTTGCCAAAGAATGCGTATCACATTTCGGAATGCCCAGGTATAATAGTGCATTTCTCTGGATTTCCTGTCTTAATTTATTTAAAATGCAAAGGCAGACAAAAGAACAAAGAAAAAAAATACATATTTTGCCTTCAGTCGTTTGACAGGTATTGTCACTCTATATGAAGCTTGATGTACATCTTCTTTGTAATACTATACTGTGGATATAAATGTCAGGTGAACAAAGTGACCATTAACAGAATATGTATGTGACTAACTTTGACAGTTTTGTGTCCCCAATTTATAACTTGGCATCACTTTGTCCAAAATTATCATCAAAAAATTATTAAGGAAAAGGCAATTCTGCTCGATTGATAAAAATATTTCCAGAATTGAATATAATATGTATAAAATACCGGTAGGCATGGAATCGCACAAAGATGCTCAGACACACAGTTACTGCAAGGTCGGCATATTTACCCAGAATCTTTAAGAGAGCTTGTGTGAAATTTTCAAAATGATATCAATTCATTATTGTCTTAATGTCTTAATTATAACACAATTTAATGTTATCTTTGACAGGTATTTTCTTGATCCTGCCTTGCATTGAGAGCTACACTAAGGTGGATCTCAGAACTGTTTCATTTGATGTACCCCCTCAAGAGGTGAGTCACTATATAGTTTAAATTTGGAGATCCACCCCAAATCAATTTTTTTTTTAGATAAATAGGTAAAAAGATCAGGGGAATAAATGATGTAGAAGTCAGGAAGGAATCTCTTGAAGAATACCAAAGGTATCTCGATTTGTATCTCAAGTGTTGAAGATCCCTCTACATAGTGGCAACACCAGAAATACAATGCAATGCTACATATATATATTAAGATTTTTTTCTCCAATTGTTTTCCACTAGAAATGTTGACTAAAGTAATATTTTTATTTAATGGAGATGGGTTGCATAAAAGGGAGATAAAGAAAGAATACATTTATTTAGGAATCAGAGAGCTACACAGGGTTTAAATGTACACACATATGAACTATATGCAACACATGTTGCATTCTGACTTACTTATCATTATGGCTATCCTGATGAAAATCTTGATGCACATGAATGCTTGAACAAGATTTCCCAATTTCCAGTACATGTTTGAAATTCTTGTTTGATTGATGAACCAAGCCTTCTGGATTCTTAAAGGTAATACAAAGTTTTGGTAAATTTTGAAAGTTTGGTGGATAGTGATTCTTTACAATTTTGATATATTTGGATGCCCTGTGGGTTAATTATAAGCATTAGAAAATTTAGCCACTAAAACACTTCTGCTTTCGAGAAAAATTGAATATAAATATATACCGGTGCTCCCGGTAAATTTTGTTACATTTCAAATAGCGCCTACGGCTGTACAATAGTAGCTGCGACCATGAAAATCTCAGAATATGTAGTTGTGATATATAATTTTCAAACGGGAATAGCTTATTGGTCGATTTTATTCAAGAAACATTATTTTACAACTTAATTAATATCTTGACCTTGAGAGGGAGCTATACAACATAAAAAGTTTATTATTTACAATTTCATAGCTTTAGACTTGATTTCAACCGGGACATCGATCACTGAATATTGTAGGGTCGCATACGCTTCTAATATGTTCATTTGAACCAAATTCATGACCGCATACCAAAACTTTGTATTACCTTTAATTGCCATGTCTCTTTAATTTACGATTCCCTAGTCCCGTATGTTGTCAGTCTATGTATCCTGTCATCATGGAGAGCTTGTAAGATTTGTTCTTGACAGCGAGCTTTAACGGCGACATAGCTCGGTGGGTGCCCGATGCCTCCTTGCTCCTAGCCTATTAGCATAATGAAAAACCCTGATCTTGCTCTTCAGGAGCTAGTTGCCTAGAACAAGCCTCAGTTCATGCTCTGGAATCCTGACACAGCCAAAGGCTGAATTGAGCATGTTTACATTGTCTTGAATACATATTTTACATGAGATCATACACAAAATATTATTACATATTACTTTGAAATTTGTATTTGTATTGCATTCATAGAATATTACAAAATTACAAAATGTTAATACATTTTTTTCATAATGTTATTAAAAAGATAACTAATTATTATTACAATTTACAAAGTATTATGAAAATTATTAAAATTTACAACAACAACAAAAATTTTTTTTTAAATATTAAAAATTACAGAATATTATTAACATTTACATAATACTATTAAAATTATACTTTATCATTACCCCATAGTATCCTCCATTTATCGCAAGAAAAGTTTGACTGCAAATCATAATTGTCTTGTTCATGGTTTCAGATGATGATTTGAGTCAGTGGCCCCGGGAGCAAACCACTTACCTAAATTAATGGATATCTTACCTCAACCGTCTTCAGAGAGTCAGCAATTCTTGAAATTCAGGAAAACATAATCCTCAAAAATCCTCATAAAGTATTGTAATATTGTCATGGATTATATGTGCGTATCGCATCCATCATGTTACATACTGTAGGTGTATCTCATGGGTCAGTGGGGATTCGTTGATAGCATGTTAAGTATGATGCGATGCAGGTGCTTTTTAATGCCTTTACCATGATAGGCTGCTTGATGAGTAAGAGACCTATTGTGTGTTCGGAGCCAGAAGGGCATTAAGTCATACCCTTATACAGAGAGTTAACACCCTTCTGGCTCCAAGTACTACCCAGTATGCTCATTACCCGATGTGATGGGTGTTTACAGGAAGCTGCCATGCTATCATGATGATATATACATCATTATGACACCAATATTATGTGGAACTATAGATGCTTTTGTAAGCCTTATTCTGCATTTTATAAATGAGCTAATGTTATGGGTTAAACAGGATTTTGGAATTTATGTAAACCTTTATTACTTGCACGATGTCATGTGAAACTTTGCCTAAGGCCACATTGTGCAAATTAGAAAGTGGCCTTAATATACAGATTTGACTGTATAGTTTGACAATTATAACACTGCTTCTTTATACGGGAGTACACAGTAGTGGGGTCTGTGATGTAGACTAACAATACGCCATACTAATGCTCATCCTATTGCATGCAAAGTGAACATGGAAGACTGTATATGCAGGCAGACAAATTGGGTAGATGGGACTGATCGGTCTGGATTTAAGACTGATACAAACAAGATTAAAGATATATCTGGGCAAGGTAGGGTAACGGGTCAGAGAATTCAGGAGGATCCATCGTCAGGCGTCGACTACGTCGGATTCATTACCGAGATACGATCTCGTTGTTTTGGATGGTTTAAATGTGATGGGCCCATGCATACAGCTCTTCTATATTCAATCTGTATGTAGCTGATGTGCCACATAATATGTACATTTTGTGCTCCAGATTTCTTTAAAGGTATTTTGTGTATGTGGATATCATGATGAGTTAAGAATTCTGATTTAAAATCCCTTTGAAGCACACGTATGCGAATTTGAGAACAAATGAGCAAATATTTAGACCGCATTTGTTTTCTAATTATACTTTTCTTGGCAATATTATTGGAAATTCAAATTGCCCATAGGTCAAAAATGCTTTAAAAAAAATCAAATATTTCATATGTGCAAACAAACAATTGTATCAAAATCTTCTCTAATTAAATAGTCCCTTCCTTGTATGGGAAATCGGAATTACCAAGTTCAACATATCGTCCTTGTTTTCAAGAAGTGACGGTAGTGAGGAAAATCGTAACGCAGAGTGAATGCAATTTTTTCCCACTACCGTCACTTCGTGAAAACAGCGACGATATATTTCAAATCATTCATACATATACTGGTATTTGCAAGTGTATGAATGTGAGAACCAAATCATTGCAAGTTTTTTTCATTATGTGAAATCAGTATTGTCTTGAGGCCGATTAACCAAGCTCAATACCTGTTTTGAATCTTTCAAATGAAACAATTTTTTTATTTGATTCTTGTCATGATTCTTTGAACTCACCCAGAGGTGGATTTAGAAAGAAGACCAACTGCCCCATTATCCCCCTTTTAAACCAATGTGGCATAACTAAACTTTCAACCAACTTTTTCAACATTTTGTCCCCCCCCCCTTTTTGTGTGTGGCCATATCCTGGATCTGCCCCTGCCCCTGCCCTTTCCTTGCAATGCTCAACTTCCTCTCTTTATCTGAATCTGAGCTTGCTTAGGACTTGATAAACAGTAATTCAATGCAGGAGAGAGGAGGCAATTTATTTGAGCTTATACCAAAGCAATCCCCTCTATAGCATAAGTGCCGTGCACTGTCAAATATGCAGGAAAGAGGGCCGGATTTGAACTTGTTGACTTGGCTTTAAGTCTATTTGGATAGAGAGAAAGGGAGAAGGGGGGGGGGGGACAGATAGAGGGATATAGAGAGGATAGTATGGAGGAAGGGAGTGAGGGAGGGAGAGATGGATGATGGGGGTGGATGGCAAGAGAGGAGGGGTGCCAGAAATAAAAAGTGAGCAAAAAGTCAGATTGAGATAGACAGTGAGGAAGTGTATGTGTGTGTGTGTGTGTGTGTGTGTGTGTGTGTGTGAGGGAGGGGGAGAGAGAGAGAGGGGGGGGGTAAACAAAGAGACATAGCAAAGAGTATAGAGATAGAGTAAGATTGACAGAGATGGGGAAGAGAGAGAGAGAGAGAGAGAGAGAGAGAGATTGAGACAGTGACCCCAGACAGACAGAAACAATTCAGCAGAGATAGCGAGTAAAAGGGGGTGGGGATGGGGGGGGGGGGGGGGGGGGGGGAGGCCACTTTGGCCTGTCATGGGGGCACAAGGTCCAAAATACATTAAATAGGCTTGACTTAAGTTGTCTTTAGTGTCATCATTTTTAGATGGTCATCGCAGTCACTATAAGAAGGACATTGCAGCAAAATGCCTTGCAGTCTGTATATGTAATCAAAACCGTGGAGAGAGAGAGAGAGAGAGACGCACATACACCCACACTTTACAAACTTACAATGAGACGGACATATTGACAGGCCGGCATAAATTACAGAGACGGGGTAAAAGCGTGATCACATAATGGGAAAACAAGGCATCTAGCTGTGCTATGAATGTCTGGAGGCTGGATGGTACATGCATCAAGCCCTTGTTATGCAGCTTCATAATCCATGTGCATTACAGTTATGTACATGTAACAAAATTTACATCTCTTGTTGTAAACATGCACTTTGAAAAAATGAATAATTTATCTGTTTGGAGCAAGAATGGCATTATTATTTATGGTTATACTATATAATACAGAGTAAATGCCCTTCTGGCTCTGAATAGCGAAGTAAGACCTAAAAAAAAAAAAAATTATAGTCATATTTTCACAGTTATGTTTAATAAAGGGTGCTTAGGGAAATGCATTGGTATGTAATTATGCAGCCAGAACACAAAAGGTGTTTTTTTAATTCGTGATGTAATTACTTCAAGCTAGAACCGCTACAGTGTCTGTTTGGAGCCAGAAGGGCGTTAAAGTCATGTCATTGTAGAGTAACTGCAACAAGCACAAGCAGTCCTTGAGGGTCATGCCATTTTGTCAGCTGAGAGCCAGAAGGGGGTTAACTGCTAGCACTCCACATAGAGATAACACCCTTCTGGGTTAGTTCAGAAGATTTCTCCTCGGTACCTTCTGACAGAAATCTTCTTTTTTTCTAATTGTTTACGATATGTTTAGTAAAATGTGTCACTTAAAGATAACCCTCGTGTAATCATATGCTTTAGTAAATATGTTAATTCAGATACCCTAATTCATATATTAACCTATGAGCCGGGACCTACATAATACAAGCTTTGCTTTTTAGTAGATCCCCCACTTTATTGATTGATTTATATGATTGTATTCTCTGTTATAACTATTACCATGTACATTATGTTTTTCTATATTGTATGTTTAGTTATAATAATTACCATTATTCATTATGTTCAATTATGTTACCTTTGATAAAGTGAAATAAATAAACTTGAAACATGATCTAATGCTGATGTTAACTTATACCTTTCAAAGCAAAGTATGTTGCATAGAATACATGCAAAATTTCTACCAGTACCATGGCAAAGGCATACTTTAAAAAAAAAAAGTGAAATAGATGTGGCATTTGGTTGATTTCACCTATATAAATAAAACAAATTTTGCAAAAAATGTCTTCATTGCCAAGAGTGGAAATAGTCTTTCAATACCATCACTAAAATGCTCAAAATTCACTATCCAAATAAAGACATTAAGTACTGTGTTAACTATTGTCCTGAATTTGGGTCTATTACACAACTTTAGACCATCTGTTAATTGTGCTCAATCATATGTTTTGCCTTGTTTATTTACTGTTAATGTCTAGAATTTTTGTAAATTCATTAATAAATGTTAATCTGTATATGTTACACCAGCGAAGAAATAAAATATCCAGAAATGGAAAATAAATACTAAATACAATACATATTGCCTAAACTTTTCCAGTATTTTCAGCTTAAAATGGATTATGCACAATTAGGCACTTTCACTTTTTACTAAAAGAAATTAGAACATGACTTTCGAACTTTTCACTGTAGAACATTTTTTTTATTTTGGAATATATGTGTTGACATTGTGTTCAAAACTTGGGAAAACATTTTCGTTTTAGTGTGTAATGATTCAATTTTCTTCTCCTCTTTTTTATAGATTCTCACCAAAGACAGCGTGACGGTGTCTGTGGACGCGGTCGTCTACTACCGAGTCCAGAACGCCACCATCAGCATCGCCAATGTGGAGGACGCCAATGCCTCGACCCGCCTCCTGGCCCAGACCACCCTGCGGAACGTGCTCGGAACCAAGAACCTATCAGAGATCCTCTCAGACCGGGAGGGTATCAGCCATTATATGCAGGTATGTCCGTCTGGTCACGGATCTGATTATTATTACTATTATTATTTATTTGACGTATCAGAAATCATACAATGGGTATAACAATCAGATAATACATAGAAATTTCATAATACGTGCCAATAGTTTTAGGAAAGGGGAGAGGAGAGAGAGAAGGATACAATCTGCTGGTCAGGGTGACAAAAGAAATTTAAATTGCTATTACTCGAAAGCATGTCACCCCCACAGGCTACATCCTGGAAAACAAAGAGTAAAGAACAGAATAAGAATTCACAGTATGACATGTATCAGGATAAAATTATGATAATTTCAACAATTACCAATATACATCATTACTTTCATTACATTATTTTGTAATTACAATGGCTTTACATTTATCACATAAAAATAAAAATTTTCAAAACAATAAAGTGGTGCCTACGTTAATAGAGACATTTGATTGGATTATTATCAGGAAGAAAAGGACTGGTAATGTAATAACATGATACGGTACAGTACCTTTTCTTGCAACATATTCCATCCAATGACTATATCGCTGGTTTTGAGACAAAAGGGCGTTAACTCATAAACTTTGATACAGAGTTATAATGCCCTTCTTCCTCCAAATAGAAGATCTTTCGTCATGGATCTGCTACTTGTTCTAGCGACATAATCCTTCCATTGACTATCGCTGCTTTGGAGTGAGAAAGGTGTAAACTACCATATTTTGATACAGAGTTAATGCCCTATTGCTCCAAATAGAAGATTTTCTCTCCTGACATCCAAGAGGGTTAGGGCATGGGTGATGATTGGGTGTCAGATAAGGTTTAAGATAAGGGTCAGTCAATTAGCAAATAGATCAATGTCATCTGACCATTGAGCAGTTGTCACAGAAAGAGCATCATTGGGGTACAATCATTCAGTCACTACTGTGTCATTTTTTTCCTATATGTCAATTATGGAATGTAACCTACCACTATGATCATAATAATGGGACACAGAAATGCTACATAGTGCCAATGGGACATGGTTCTAATTCGTCTGTAACTTATCAAATGTTTTATCTCTGAGGAACCGATAGCAGTCTTAAAAATGTGCTGTATAAATAGATAGCATACTGAGAAGATACAAAATTGCAACTTCTGTAGATGGCTGTCTAAAATTGTGCTTCACCTTTTCCAGAGCTGATAAAAACAAAACAGTATGAAAACAAAAAGTGATTGTGTAGTATCTAGATGTATAAACACATGTCTTTTTCTTATCATTACAGTCAAGTTTGGATGAGGCGACAGATCCTTGGGGTATCAAAGTCGAACGTGTTGAAATGTAAGTATTGAAGCAGCCATTTTGTTTCTTGATGTCAGATAGACAGTGTTGGCCATGTGCAACTCCTAAAGTGGACAATGTAATGATAAAACACAAAGTGGACAATGTAACGATGAAACAAAATCGATGATGGCTGTTATAGAATGTATGATTAGCCTGAAAGTAATCTCTGGGTTAAAATCCTCCTCGATTAAACGAACCCTGTAGGAAATAATATGCATAAAGCCAAATTGCCTCATAGACTTCTAACAGCCTTATGTATTTTATTGCTTAGTAATTGCAGAAGGGAGGCCGGTTATTTAGGTAGCTTAATAGCGAAATCCAATGGCATGAAAAGATGCGTCCAGAAAGTAAAAGGTGAAATAGTTAGTGATGTCTGTTAATCAAAAGTTCTTTTTATAACATATCTGAATGAAAGTGTAGCTAAATTTAATGTCAGGCATATTCAAAAGGTTTCACTATTTTTCAATTTCAAAAGGCTTTCATTATTTCTAAGCAATTGCTCTTCGATGAATTAATATATACCCTCTGAAAATGATGAGTCTTGACACTATTAAAGGATGCATTACATTATGGAAATGTAGGAAATCAGTTTTTTATAACACGAGCTTACTGGAGTATGCAAAAAATGTGTATTATTTGAACAAACACTTTTTATTGCATTAACATTTACCCTCAGTGTATGATAATTGATGGGAACAACAACTAAGGGAGAAGAAAGGAAACTAGTAAAGTAACAATACTGTGGCAAACAGATTACCAATCATGTCTTAACCTCTGTGAAAAAAAAGTATATGCAGTGGTCATTAGCATGCATTAAACGGCAGGTGGAGAATCTATTATCTATAGAAAGCCTATTTTGGGTGGCCATTACATGGACTGGCGTTAATGGGTAAATAGATGTACAAATATGCTAAAAGCATCTTTCATAGACCATGATGGTAGTTTCCATGGGGATAAATGTAAATGAAACTAACGCTATTTACCCAGACTGAAGTTTTATGCTCTGTGAGAATTTGAGTTTAGCTTTTGGAATAATAGGGAGGAGAAAACGGGACAGGCTGTTTTTGAATATAATTTAATGGAAATCTGAAGGACACATGTGATAGAACTTGTTTGTCTGGCTGAAAAGTGCAAACAGAGGCACGGCCAGGCAATGAATATTTTGAGCAGAAAATCATTTGTGATATTTTTATCGTTCTTTGAATACATCTACACAGCATATTTCAGTTTGTACATTGTCTGATTGTAATCAGTGATTGGTTTTGAACTTTTCCACGTTGTTTCTTTGTCGTTTCATTAGAAAAAACTAAATCATTGAAACATATAGTAGAAATTCCAGCTTGTGACTTTGACAGGGAACAAGAGTATTACGATTTCTGACGGTACAAATGCCATCTTCTTGAAAACCTATCCTTAATCCTTGTCCAAATTAATGCTAATTTTCTTTTTCTTTAAAAAAAACAAAGTCCTGTACATATTTATGTCATGTGCCGTAAATTCAACACTGCCTCTTTTCAGAATTCTGTCATAACTCCTTTTCATGTTGTATTTTTATTTCATTGTCTTTGATAATTCAGCCTTGTGGCTAAAACCATCAATGCCACACAAATTTCCTCCTATCTACCCCCTCCCCCAGATTTCCTTATACAAAGTTTGATAGCATAATACATATCCATGTTCATCATCATCATCAGCATCATCATCATCATCATCGATTTGAGTCATTACACAACTACTTCCCATTATCTAGCAAAAGGAAGATCGAGCCACGTCGATCGTTAGCCTCTGCCAGCTAGGTCCCTCCCAGTGCATGTGTCAGACAGCGCGTCACAGCTTACTGTAGATGGTCCATGCTCTGAGGGCGCCCTGCCCGCACTCCAAGTGCATGAAGCAAAGACAATGATGATACTGTGGGTCGATGTCCTTTTTTGTGAGTCAATGTCCTTTTGTGTGTGTGAAGATTCTGATACGTTACATAGACTTTATGACTAGATTACAGAATTGGGGCCATCTGTTACCAATGTCAACCTAGAGCCAGAAGGGCTTTACCTCTGTGTGATATGATATGAGTTAAGGTCCTTTTGACTCTCAGCAGATGATACATGCAAATGATCACTCTCTATACAGTAGATTCATGAAGTTTTTTGGCTCAAAAAGACGCTTCCGTAACGTAAACTACATAATTGTTGAAAATCATAATGTTATCTTACAAAGGTGGATCCATATCATTAGTATAAGGAGCTGGTAAGAGCATATACCATCTTGATGAGGCTTAATATTAGCTAAACAAATATTCTGATATATATATCACAAAAGAATTTAAAAGAATATATAACGGACATCATTATTAAACTATTCTACATTTTGCTAAGCTACCTAAGACTTAGTTTGACAAACAGGCCATTACAAGCGATATCATCTGAGTTTATCCAATTTTGCACGAAGGTGAAACGGAGAATGCAGGTGTAAACCTTGCCATGGTTTCATTATGATATATCAAGGAGCCATTAAGAAGTGCAGACACGATGCATGTTTGCGTACCCTCTGCTATTTTCTGCTATTTGCTCCTGGGCTTCAACCAAAATGACATCCACACCCTCGCCAACACTCTCTCTATATCATCAACGTTTCAGACATATTTTGTTATTATTGCTCTTGAGCTGTTCCTTATTTCTATTCAAAGAGGTGTGGTGAAGTGGATGGCCATGTAGTCTGTCCTCTCCCTTTCCAGAAAAAATAGGATTCAAATGGTATTCTTCGGACCTTTGTTTGCTTAACAAATAATTTGAAGAGATAACACATTTCTGAAAATTAAGAATGTCTTCTTTTATTTGTCTTATTACATGATCATGTGTACCCCCGTCTCCCCCTCTTTGAAAATTACTGGATCCATCCCTGTTCAAAATAAGTTATTGCTTAAGAGATATGGCTATCTGTATCCATGTCATTCCCTCCATTGCAACAGGGATGCTAGCTTTGATGTGCTTGTGATAATATCCCATAAACATTTCTTTCCATTACAGCAAATAGTTCATGTCTCCCTGTTCACGTATAATGTAGAGAGTGATACAAAAACAGAGTCTAAGGCATCACTATCAATCTAATTCTCTCCGTTGCAGCAGGGATGTTCCTATACAAATGTAACTTGTTCATAATTCCTATTTATTTCAATACTGCAAAGATGTATGTTGCCGGTTCATCTTCAGAGTGCTACATTACTGAGACTTGGACATCGCTATCCATCCCATTCTCTCCATTGCAGCAGGGATATTCTTATTTGCTTATTGTGACTTGACTTAGATGCGTAGGACGTTGTGTACCTAGCTTGCTCTGCTACGAGAAATCATGCTCCATTCTGATCTGTCCTGGGCTTGTTGCTCTGCGTCTTGTGTGGGTAATCCCACATCTCACCAAACTTGGTCCTTCCATCTCGTTGGAGGGCGTCCCCGAGGTCTTCGTGCATCAAAGTCATTCTGGCATGCTTGGTATAGTTGGCAATGATGCGGCATGCGTACAACTTGGCCAAACCATTTCAAGCGTGGTTTAGTTATTTCTTCGCATATGGTGCTTAGGATCATCAGCCCTATAGTACTTAGGATGAACAGCCTCATAGTGCTTATAGTAATATCTTTTAAACATTTTTGTTTATTACAGCAATATGTACCTGTTCAGCTTCAGACAGATACAATATAGTGACTTGGCCATCTCATTCTCTCCATTGCTCAGGGATGCATTTATGTGTCTATTATAATATATCTATTTTACATTTCTTTTCATTACAGTAAAGATGTTCGTCTACCTGTTCAGTTACAGAGAGCTATGGCTGCAGAGGCTGAAGCTGCCAGGGAAGCAAGAGCAAAGGTAGGTTTATCATCCTCTGGCCACAATTTTTCCACGGTCATTCTTAAAGGTAAAGGCCAGTTTTGGAAATGCACCCCTCTCAAAAAATGAAATGGAAGCTCTCATTACCAATCATGTGAAAGAATATTTTTTGACTAATACAAGATGATACAAATTTTGACGAGAAACTGCCTACTAATAGATATATATTTGGTAAATTATTATATCTATCCAGACCGGATAGATATTGCACATGTGTTGCGTAGTCCCATAAACATCCTATATACATCTTTCTGTGTACAGTGCTTGTAACTTTACCAAGACTGGGCCAAATTTCTTATCGTTTTGATGATTCCAGAACCTTGCAGTACACACTAATACTTAAATGCTAGATGATCAACCTTTTCTGATCGATTCGACAATGTTTCTTTCACAATGCAATCGCATGACCATAACTGGTCTTTACTTTTAAACTGCATTCCAAGCTTTAAATCTTAAACCAAAATTATACCGAACCCAAAGCCTTTCCCTAACCTAGAATACACTCGCACATGAATGCTATCTGCATATATTTTGTTTATGAATCAGAGCATGGAGTAGATGTCGCCAGAGAAAATGGTGTATCAACACGGTTTTAGCAAGGACATTCAGACTAAGACCCCGTTCTCACTCACTTTGAAAGTGGTCTTAGTTAGACCGCTCCAGAGGGACGGGTCTTGAGGAACGGTTTGCGAGCGTTCACACTCCGAGCAGTTTTTTTATGGCTCAAACCGCTCCACGAGTCAAAGTGGTCTTGTTGCTATGGCAGCTCAGGTCAGCCGGTCAATTTTTTCGCGTGCGGAATACAAACCGTACCGTACTACATGTTTCGCACGGAACGTCACTAGCTCACTTCCGGTCAAAGTACGCTTCCGTTCACATTGCACGTTAGAGCGGTCCAAACCGCTCTTAATAAGACCCGTTCCTCAAGACCACCTCCCAAGGTGGTCTTCTGGAGCGGTCCAGAAGTCCACTTCCTGGACCACTTTGACCGTTCTCACTCACCTAAGAACTGCTCCTGAGAAACGGGTCTTAGTTAGACCGCTCCAACGAAGTGAATGAGAACGGGGTCTAAAAGTCTTTTGCTAGGCTCACAGTAATGCCATCATTTCTATCAAGGGTCCTTTTTTTCAACAGCTCTTAGATTAGAGGATCAGAAGCATATCGTTTTCAAGTCCACTCAATAATTGTACACAATTAACAGGGATTATGAATGTATACAGGCTTCATGTATATGTATCTAGTATGTATCTAGTATAACTCTTCTGTAGACCTTCCAAAAATCTTCCATAAATCACGTCATTGTCCCAATAAATTGGCAAAATACTCTAGGCAAGTAGAATAAATATTGGGTCATTAGCTATTCAGATCAAACAATCTTTTGTATCAAGTACCAAAAAGAAGGGTTGTTTTGGTAGATATTAAAAGAGCTAAGCTTGATGTAGTTAATCATTTGTTGATGTTTTAAATTTTCCTTTTCATATAACAATGTATCATATTGTAAGTTTTAAATCCCCACTGCACTAGTTTGGCCAGGAGGGATTTAGACCTCCCCGCATGGTCACTGACAGGTGGTTATCTAATCAAATCAGCCCTCACTTAACATAAGAAAAAGGGGATCATGGGGGACCAATGGTCACCGCTTAGGCATTGTTTGCTATATAGAGGGCACAAGTGGATACAAGTAGTGCAGACGGGCTTTAAAGTTTCCTTTTATATGACATTGTATCATATTTAAGTTTTCATGAGAGAAATTTCTACTTTGAATCTCCACATACGTTCTTAGGTAATAGCAGCAGAGGGAGAACAGAATGCCTCGCGAGCCCTGAAGGAAGCTGCTGATACCATCTCAGAATCCCCTACCGCTCTCCAGCTTAGATACCTTCAGACCCTCAACACCATCTCAGCCGAGAAGAACTCAACAATCATCTTTCCTCTGCCAATTGATCTTCTAAAGTAAGTCTCTCCAGTGTCTTTACAAGTTGATCTTCTTCCCCTGATGGTATCACAATGTATCTGATGGCTACCGTGTGTTTCAATGGTTCTTAAAGTAGAGGTCATAGCCCTCTGGGATATTGAATAATGAGGGTAATTTTTTTTTTTTGGTGGGGGATGGTGGTTTAGGGGGTAAAATAAATCTTGAATTGTATGCAAAAATATCATTAAAGTCTAATGACCCCATATGTCGGGGGGGGGGGGTGGTGCCAAAATGTGACATTGGCATGGAATGCCTCATGGTTTTGGAACCAACAGACTCAGAGTACTGACCAAAGATTTTTTTTTTTTTTTTTTTTTAAACCATTAAAAACACCCATTTGTGGTGTCTACACCAACAATCTATTTCCTTCTGGATTTGAGACCTGACCTTGGGGATTATTTATAAGAATGTTCAAATTTTATGAGGACACAGACTTTTCACCTACGATATCTTTAGAGGGTAGCTGTTACAGCCATTAGTAAAATCAAATTTTAGAGAAATTACATATTTGTAACTTTCCATGCAATATGTTTAAACACTTGGCTTTAATACTACACATCACTTGCTTGTATTGAGGAAATCGCTTTTGTATTACTTGTGTCACACATGTTGCACAGTTTTTGATAGATGCAGGGATGCATGTTGAATTCCCCTTCTATTTTTCTGTGACTGTCCAAACTTTAATTCTCGACTGGGCCCTTCAAACTGTTATGTCCCATGTTTCATGATAAGCTTAACGAGTATAAAGAGAGTCTGAACAAGCTTATTTAATTGCATAAATGCAACAGCAGCTTGTTAAATCTCTAGTTCCAAGAAGTTTAATTTTGTTGGTGATAAACAGTAAACGATCTAGTTCCTTATTTTCTGCATTTTCACTCTCAATCAGAATCTACTCCTTTTAATATCTACAACATCTGTAATTTCTCAGGCTTTGCTACAGTTCTGGAATACAAAATTATGATTGTTCTGAATTTGTTGAGCTTTTCTTTCTCTGTTTTCACCACTCATACACCATATTTTTCAAAACTGTTCACTCACATGCCTGACCTGGGGCAAGGCATGTTGCCTGTCAATTACTCACATTCTCTCCTTCTCTTTCTCTCTTCCTCTCTTTTTTTTTGCACTGCTTTTCGTATCAGGAGCCTTCAGAGACGGAAATAGGGGACACTTTGCATCTTTCGGCCAAACTTTCATTTCTGTCATAGGTATGCATTGCTCAGCACAGTTTGTACCTTCTTTTACAGCGTATTTGTTCTGTATATCCTTCATCTGATCGAACTTTGGTCTTTGTTTGTGAATTGTGTTTTATTTCATTCAATCATTGACTGAAAGATTGTTTTGATCTTTGTTTAAAGGGCAAGTCTACTCCAAAAAACAACTTACTTTTAATAGAAGCAGGAAAAATCAGACAAACCAATCAGAAAAGTTTGAGCAAAATCGGATAACTAATAAGAAAGTTGTGAATTTTGATGACATGAAAGACTTTGAAAATCACAAGATAAATGGGCAACTCACTTGTAAGTCTGTGACGCCATTGCCTCACTATCTGCAAATTGTTTTCTTTTATATTGATAATATAATTTCCAATTTTCCCCCTAAAAATCTTATTTCCTCACACCAGCATCCAAGTTAATATATTGTTAGTAATATATTTTTGTGTGGAAGAATTATTAAATGTAGAGTAATTTTTTTCAGTTAGATAATGAAAATGTGAGGTTTCATCAACTGATTGTGAATATACAATATTCATAAAAAAGTATAAATTCTTCAAAGTTCATAAAAGATTTTGTGAAACGTCATGCATGCAATATGATAAAAATCATATAACCTGGGTAAAGGCATGGGGAAATTAAGTTTTGGGGATTAAAAAAGGTGAATTAATGGGACAAAAGATATATAAAGCCATTTATAAATACCAGTAGTGAGGCAATGACGTCACAAACTCATAACCAAATTGGCAATTTGTGTAGTGATTTTCTAAGTTCCATAGTTATACAGTAGGCTTGCGGATGCACCATGTGAGAGAGGGAGGATTGAGGAGTCCTGAAAAGGACTCTCGGTAATCTTTTTTGAGGGAAAGATTACAGAGAGTCTTTTTCAGGACTCCTCAATCCTCCCTCTCTCACATGTCATGGTGCAACCGCAAGCCTACTGTATATCTATATCACCATGCAAGCTGATATCACAAGCAGCATCTAAGTTCCATAGTGTTTCATACTTCTTAAAAACTTCATAACTTCCTTATTAGTTATCCAATTTTACTCAATTTTGATGTTGCTCTGTTTCTCTAGTTTTTCTGCATCTATTCAAAGCATATTATTTTTGGAGTGGACCTTTAAACACATCAAAGACAAGATACACATAGTGTCTGTCAAAAACAATTTATTTCAATTTTTGTTTTAGTATCTTTGTGAAGAATCTACGCTCTTACAATCACTTCGAATCACTGTTTTTTTAGAAAGCTGTATGTATTCACGCTAAATTAGATATTGTTATTTTTTTCTTCATTTTAAACAACGTTTACTGATGATGCAAATGATTACCATCGATATTTGAAATGAAGTATGTAATTTTAATGTACACATGACATGTTTATTCAATTATTTCTATCTTTTTCTTTCACATGCCTAGTGTCATGAAGAAGTGGTAATGCATAGGAGACATTGGATTGCATTGCTAGATCTCAAGGCCCAGCATTTTTTCTACGATAGGAGACCCTCCCCCCCCTCCCCCTCCTCAAAATGGCAATGGTATTTTAATCCCATTCTGTGTTTAACCAATCAACCAGTGTATTGTTCTACATGATGTATAAAACTGAAGTAGAATAGAACATAAAGCTGGAAATAAACAAGGAATGCGATGTGAAGATGTTATCTAAAGTTTTAGCAGAATTTTCAACAAAATATTATTTCACTTTTTAATTAGATTCTTGTGCAAAGTAGGTGCTTAATATTCGTGCAATAGTGGTATTTTTCTAGATGCTAAAATGTTCCTCTGACAGCTGATATTTATTAAAGAAGTTAAACATATTTTGTTTGCCAAAGTTATCCAGTTTTCATTTTGATAAATACAAAACATTTGTTTGAAAATGGATGAGAAAAATTTCTAGGTATGCGAATATAGTTCTTAAACTACTGGCAAATGAAATAATTTTGCATAGAAATATTATTTAAGAAATATTTAAAACAAGAAATTAGATTAAAAGGTAGCGTGCTCCTGTACATGGAAATGTGCAAATTCGATGTTGGACATGCAAATGGAAAGAGCTCTTTTTGAGAATAACATGACCAAAATTCTTTGAATGTTTTTTGTTCAAATTAACCCTTCATGATTATTTTTTAACATTGTAATGTATAATATTATTAAGTTGTACTTGTATTGTTTGTGATGTTGTTATTTTCTGCATGATAGCAATGATGAATATGTGATTTTCACACTGTTATTGTCATTTTGAATTATTATTGTGTCAAGATATTGTAGCAAACAAGAAATTCCAGTGGAATCATTTATCTTTATTTAAACATTTTTCTTTGTTTTATTCCGATCAAAGTACATGCATTTAAACTTTCAAGAAAGTAAACTTACTATGAATGTTTGAAGATTCATGAAGTATGAAAATGGTAACTATATACTAGAACCAAATGGAGGTATCCTACCATTTTAGGGGGCATTCAGCGTTTTGTAGATTACTGTAGCCCAATTATTCGTAAACACCCTCCCTAACTCACAAAATAAATCAGTTATACCCTTAGATTTGGCTCTATGAATGACTGCTACCTGTGATAAGTTTCATATAAACCGTTTAAAGTATTAGATCCTTGTCAGTTGAGAAAGGTATTTGGAATTTATTGGAAGAAAACAGATGTGGTTGAATCTAATGTTGTGTTGTAAATATCAGCAACTTGTAAAAATACACAGAAATCATATCTATTTATTACACAGCACTGTATATTGTGTCACATTAACTGAGCAAAGCATATAGATAATTAAAACTTAACATGCTTTGGTAGACATAAGTATCATATTGTTAATGCAAGCATCTGCCGATGACATGATAAGACAGTAATAGAAAATCTTGAGAAGCAGTTTGTAGATGTTTGTCTTTCATGAAAGTTTAGAAAGTTCGTTTATATCATTTCAATTAAAAAAATGCAGAGTTTGCATTGCCCCTGTTTAAGTCATAATCCAAGTATGAAATATTACAATATATTGCAAGTATGTGACAATTTAGACATATATAAATTATGTTGAAATTTAATTAGAACAAACAAACTAATTTTTAAGTATTCCCATTTAAATCAATCACCTTTACAGTGAAGATTATGTATGACGGCCTGCCTGTATATCTTTTTTAAGAAGAAAAAATATGGGTAGAAAAGAAATCATATACATGTGGTTTGAGTAATGGTCATATATTTTCTTAATAATTATATATTTGCATGTTTTTTATCACTTTTTGTTGATGTTGTTACTTAAATCTGTTAGCATCATACCCATTGTAAAACTGATTAAAAATTTCCAATGTGTTCATGTGTACTAAAGCCCAATTATTTGATTTTGTCATGCATATAACGAATATGACAACGGAAGTATTATGTAGAAATTATGTTTACTCTGATAATATATTCAAAAGTAGAATAAAGTGTATATCATGCACTTAAAATTACAAATTTTCTTACTTTTTGAAATCAAGCTCATCGTTTTTATTTGACTCATCAAATTTTGATGACTATGTCAATTAAACCAAGAACCTACTAAATATACTTTAGACTGTATTTTTTACTTCACTAGGTAGCATTCTTCTGTGTGTTACTAAATTTATATCTTGTAAAAAATAGCTGCTGAAATCACATTTTCTTTTCATCTTGCTGTTTGATTTTCCTATTTTCCAATCATATCGACCAATAGGATTTTATATCTTCCAGGAATTTTTTATCTGGATTGTTCAGTTGACAACCTAGTATGCAATACAAAAATATTTAATCACAAAATAGTAGCATCACAGCTGTTTGGCTGAGTGACTTCAATTTTGTTTTATATATATGCAAGTATTCTTTTTGGTGAGTAAATGGATATTTAAATGTGACAAAATTAAATCTCATGCCGATTCAATTGACCTCAAATTAGAGTTCAATGCCACCGTCAAAATGAGGCGTGTCAAAATAGGAATATTTTATAACCAACATTAAAACAAAAAAGACAATTAAAAAAAGATATTATTTGGACTTTTTGATTATTAAAAAAACAGAAGAAAAAAGATGGTATATAAACTTTTCAAATGTCCTTCTATTTGGAGGCTTTCCTATATATTTACAGTTAGACCCTTTTTGCTTGTGTTTCATTTTCATAAGTTATGGACATAAATGACAGTTATTTCATACAATGTATACCTGTTAATAAATATTGATACTCTTTCATGTTATATCGCTGTGTTTGGCTCATTCTTTTGTTGTGTTGATAACTTTTTATTTATATATTTAACACGATTCTTTATACATGGACTTAATGAGATAATGTCATGTACATGCAGGAAGGTATGAGGAGGCAGATTCTGGATTCTGTGGCCAGGAGGGGGGTGGATGGCAACATAAGTCAGAAAAGTCTGTCAAAAACAACAAGAACATAATTATAATTTTCTTCTTCAAAATTCTCTGACAAGAGACCCCCCCCCCCAAAAAAAAGTGTTTAAATTGTTCAGATGCCTTTTGGAATCTAAAACTGCTGTTCTAAGGGCCGGGGCACAATAAGGGGGCATTTCTTTTAGGGGAGGGGGGGGGGGGGGGTCTTTATTGTGTATATTTAGGTTTGCCAGATTGGATTTTGTTAGGGAACAAAGAAAGTAAGAGAAATAATTGGAGAGGTTATAAGTCGGAAGATGAATGTTTTTTCACATTTCGTAACTTACAAAGAGTCCCGATATATTCATATGAAATTCGAAAAAGAAAACGACACATCCCTTTAACAAAAAGCAAATAAATTATAGACTGAGGAAGAGGGGTGGGGGGGGGGGGGTCAATATGAGACCCCTGTCAAAATTAGTGACTACTACATGAGTTGATTCAAACGGTGATCACATCATCACAATGTTTATGACTACTTTAATACGAATCATTCGCTCCTTGAAAAAACCGAAGTCATCAAAGATGTGACAATTTCATCACCTGTTCAGTGGTGGTGGCCCCAAAGTGAGCTGAAATAAATTAAATTTGTCTACAAAGTACAAACATACCAAAACCAATAGCTTTCCATAAAAATTTCTTAAATGGGGGACCAATAAGACATATTGTATGACATAAGATCACCACCGCTGCCCCCCCCCCCCCCCCCAACACTAAAAGGAGAAATTCAAACGAGCATGTTCAACTGGTTTGACTAAGAAGCCTATAAGGGATGTAATTATGATATCGAGCAATGTGTTTCTATACCTTCAAATCAGTCATATTCTAATTCAACATAACATTTTAATTGTGGAAAATTAAATCCCTTTGTTCTTGAAATGGACATCCTGAAAAAAAACAGCATTAGATTTTAAAAAAGAGAGAATGGGATAGTGCAATGATTGCAGATGATGGCTTGGCTTCTACACTGTCGCTCATAAAGGTGGAATATTTTAGTTTTACCCCAATTTATGGAATTATCAAAAAAATTATTTAAAAATAATAGATCTAGATAATAGTATACATTCTGAGATTTTATTGAATAATAATTAGCCAATGTGTGTTTTGCGGGACTGCTAAAGCATGTGTATGCTATTATGCTTATTAACGAGGGGACCTACGCCCTCAAGTCATAAATGACAGTAATGAGGATTAATGCCCCACAAAAGGGCACTAATATAGCACATCGACACGCTTTTGATCCTGGGGCCTCATAGTTACGAGGCCATTGGTCCCCAACATAACAAAATCCTCTGGACGGCCATGCATTTTGGCTCAAGGCATGGGCACACAGAAGATTTTTTTATGTTGGGAACCGGGGTAAAATGCCAAAAATTATTGAAAATTTATTGCATTTTCTGTTTTTTTTTTATTTATGGAAACTGCCCCCTACCCTAGCCCCCGCTGCGTACAGTCATGGTTCAATGACAAAGCAATGGCCTCGTAACTGTGAGGCCCCAGGATCAAAACCGTGTCGATGTGCTATATATATTAGTGCCCTTTTGTGGGGCATTAATCCTCATTACTATCATTTATGACTTAAGGGCATAGGTCCCCTAGTTGATAAGCATAGTAGCATACACATACTTTAGCAGTCACGCAAAACACACATTGGCAAATTATTATTCAATAAAATCTGAGAATGTATACTATTATCTAGATCTATTATTTTTAAATTGTTTTTAAAATAATTCCATCAATTGGGATTTAAAAAAATATTCCACCTTTATGAGCGACAGTGTACTTCCTATCTTTGTTGTTGGTGTCTATAAGTTTTGAGGGACAAGCTAAGCTTTAATAAGGTCTCCCCGTCTTTTTTTTCCTCACTTAAATGCATTATATGAACTTGATCCCTGAAAGTGTACCTTTTATACACTCTACATGTTATAGATTTGTTAAATTGTATTACATTCATGTTGGAAGAAAGACAAATAAACTTGAACTTGAACTTGAATTATCTCGCTATTAATCAATAGCCACATAATGAAGGCCAGGGACAAGTCAGAATATGGAGAGAGAAAGAGATAGAGGAGACAGGGAGAGAATCCGAGAGTGATAGAGAGAGGGAGAGAGAGAGAGAGAGGGGGGGGGGAGACAGGGAGAAAAAGAGAGAGAAAAGAGAGACAGAGAGCGACATAGAAGGAAGGTAGAGAGAGAGAGAGAGAGAGAGAGAGAGAGAGAGAGAGAGAGCCCCTTACATGTCCCCTCCTATCTTCTCCCTCTCTATTTATCTGCATTTGACAAACCAGAAGGAACCTCCTCCCCCATGAACTTGGCCTAGGCTATGCCCCCACCCCCACCTTCCCCAACTTGATGGCGAGTAAGGAAAAACAAACAGAAAAGAAAGAAAAAGAAAAGAACAGGAGAAGGTAACATGGAGGGAAAACGAAACAACACCATTATATTCCTCCCGCCCTTCCCATTCAATGGCCTTGATCGAATGTATTTCATCCACAAGTTGTAAGATCGCCCCCCTCCCCATGACATACCCGACCAATTGCTTGATCGACTTTCATGTATATATATATATATATATATATATATTTAATGGTCAATGAATGAAATGATAATTAATTATGCCCCGCATGGTTGCCCTATCTATTACACTTTCTGAAATATCCGGATTTTGCCGCTATTGAGATGGCAATAACCGTTTTTAAATCATGGTATTAACGTCACTCCTAAAACTTAAAAGATGATGACGTGTAAATGCATGATTATATTTGTTGGAATTTATTTATTCATTTATGTATATTTCATAGTTCATTTTATTTCTTCTTTCACAAAAAAAAGTAACAGGAACAGCAGAATATCAATATGACAAACATAATTTGAAGTGCAATATTAATATTCAACATACAACTTTTGTCATTAACCTAATAAATTCTATAAAAAGTTTCTTATGTAAGATCATGTTCTGTACATGAAAGAAAGAGGAGACCATTTAGAAGCTGGGTTTGTAAGAGCAAGGTCCCCAAACAGAATATAATACCTGAATGCTTTAATTACTTTGAAGGAAAAAAAACTTAACAAATAAACTACTTTATAAGACTAGAAACGAATACACATGGCTGACATGGGAAATATTTACAAAAGAGATAGGTTGATGTATATGAAAAGGAGAAAATGGGAAGATATAATATACAAAAGGATTGAGAGCGAAACGCAAAACGGAAGAAAACAACAACAGAGAACTGAAGTTGAGAAGGAAGAAAATTATATATAGGGGAAATGATGATGGGGAAGAAATAGAAGAGAGAGAGAGAGAGAGAGAGAGAGAGAGAGAGAGAGAAAAGAAAAAGTACAATAGAGCAAAACAGAACAAAGCGAGTTTGCTACTAAATGATGAAATGTTGTTAATAAGGACCAGCCTGGAAAAGAGGGGGGGGGGGGGGGGTCGGGGGTACAATGAAGCACAACAAAAGTAACTACATACTATATCATATGTGATGACACAGTTTTTACATTAAATATGTTCAGCATAATGCTTTTGAAAACAGTGATACTGATAGAGCGAGTTACATCAATAGGAAGTGAGTTCCAAAACGATGGACCAGTACAAGCTAATTTTTTTCGAAGCAAAGGCAGTTGCCTGTTTTGTATTATAACTGTAAATTTGACTGTTCTTTTTAAATAATAATATTGTACCGAACGCATTTGGGAAAGTACTATTTTCAAAATCATATATAGAGCCTAATTGCAAGAGATATAGATATATTTTACCTTTAATACGGTTTACTCTGAAACAAAACATTCCTATGAGCACGATGATTTACATTAAAAACAATTGAAATATTAAAAAGAATTCTAACCCTTCTCTGAGCGAAAAGTATCTGATTTAGTTGCGTTTTTAGTGACTTTCCTCATGCCTATACACTCCATAATTAAAATAAGGCAAAATCAGAGTAGAGTATAAAATAAGCAAAATTGCAGTTTGTGGAAGTGGCACAATAAAACGTATTATACACCAGTATTTGTAGACAGAATCTTCTCTGCCTATTACCTTTGAAAACTATGAGAACCTAATATTATTTTATTTTATTTTCAGCACATGTAGAATAACTTGTGTCTTCAAGGCTTAAAGAATCCGTTACTGCTTGTCAAATAATTATTATGCAAATAATGACATGAAGCAAAGAAACAAACAAAGGGAGGAAAGAAAGAAATACATAAAAAGCAAGGAATTAAGAAAGACAGGAGAAAAGAAAGAAAGTAAGCAAAAAATTAAATGAAATTGAAAAAAAGGAGAGAAAAAAAAGGAGACATAGAAGGAAGAAAAATGAGAAAGGAAGGAAATAAATAAAAGGATATAAGAAGGAAGGAAGGAAGGAGAGAGAAAGAATGGAGAAAGAAATAAAAACAGAAAGAAAAATTAGCAAAAGACAAAAATACGGGAGCAAGAAAAAAAGAAAGGAAAAAAGAAAATAAAAAACAAATAAAAGAAAGAATGAAAGAAAGAAAAAGATAACAGTGAGTGAAAAAAAGGAAGAAATATAATTATATAGAAACAAAAACAAGATCGCCGCACACGATACGCACCAGAATTGTTATCACTGAAGGGAACGTATTTATTTTATTGACCTGAGAATATACGTAACACATCTGATTTGCACTTCCAATGTATACCCGTGTATTACTATTAATTATAATGGAAAAAAATCCGAATCCAGGCTACTGAAGTTTTGCACTTTGCCGCGACTTTTCATCAGGGAATTCAATTATTAACTTGTAAGGTAGGGCATGTTTAGAATTTTATATGACATAT